GTGGGATGGGGCAGCCTGCCGCCCGCTGCCCGGGGAGCCAGGGACACTTGGCTCTTCCAAGGGTGTCTCCCACCGCCACTGCCGGAGGGGGCGGCATCTTCCCAAGCAGGTGCCACTTGCAGGTGCCACTTGCCCGGCGTTGGCTCTGCTGGGCAAACCAGGTAGTACACTCCCATTTTACAGATGGGAGAACTGCACCCAGGGAGGGGAAGGGATTTGCCCGGGGCCACACAGCTGGTTGGTGCGGAGTTGGAGTTGGGATTGGGATGTCGGACCCCAGAGCCTGCGCTTTCTCTCCCTCCGGGAGGGGGTGCGGGCGGTGGGGCAGATGCAGAGGGAGGGCGTGGGAAGCAAGACCCTGCTGCAGGCCTCAGGGCGCTGCAGGAGGAAAGGGAGGATGGGGAGCAACGCTGTGTTCTGGAGGGTCTGGCCAGGGTGGGGCATGTCCCTAGGGTCCTGAGGGACCTGCTGGTCCCACACAGGGGGAAGTAGGAGAGGAAGCTGCCCCCGGCCGCGCTGCGGGGGGAGGAATAGCTTCCAGGGGCCGAAGCATCGCTCCCGAGAGGTCTCCCTTCCTTCCTCCCAGCCGTGATGACCGGTGCTGGGCTCCAGGCTGCGGCGAGGGGGGTGGTGCTGGGTGCCATGGTTACATCGATCTTCCCCCGGCCACATCCTCCCCCAGCTCCAGCCCTGACTTGGCTCCCAGTCTCCTCACAGGGGGTGGGGCCGGGGCATCTCTCCCTGCCTGGCTGCGTCTGGTGGGGGAGGGGCAGTTTGTGTGTGGACCCGGGGTGGGGAGAGGTGAGGGCAGAGGGGGCTGCTTGCTGTCAGCCGACCTGCAGCTCCTGCTTCCTGACTCCCGGAAGCCTACTCTTCCTCCGCCTCCTCCCCATCTTATCCATGCTGCCCTCTAGGGATGGGGTGCAGCTGAGGTCTCTCTCTGAGTGCAGGCTGGTAAGGGCAGGACTTGGGGCTCCCCTTCTGGTCACTTCTCTCCACTCCCCCTTTTCTCCTTGGCTTTCATTCCCTGTCTGCCACTGGATGCCTTAGGCCCTCCTGTCCTTGGTCTTCTCTTCATACCGGCAGCAGGGTGATCTTTATTTTTTTATTTTTAAAAATAATTATTTATTTCATTTTTAAATTTATTCATTCATTTGTTTCTTAATTTGACCAGAGAGAGACAGAGGGTGAGAGTGAGAGAGAGGAAGTGAGAAAGCAAACACCAGATTCAGGACTCAAACCCTGATCGACCATGTGGGAGTGTCCAGCGCCTTAACCACCACGCCACCTGCTGGTCCCGGTCTTTATTTTTTGAATGGTTTTTAGATTTTGTTGTAGGGTGTATGCCCTTGCTGGAGAGGGAGGCAGAATGAGAGAGGGGGAAATGAGAAATCACCCTCCAGGAGGGATGTCCACATCACAGTCTCCTCTCCTCTACTCTCCTCTCTGGATCTTGGGCACGTATGCACACGCACCTGGTGTGTAACCAGCTGCTTGGTCCAGAACTTGAACTTTGGAGCCAGCCACGTGGGATCCAGCTGCCTTAACCTCTACGCCACCTACTGGTCCACCAGGGCAGTCTTAGACTGAGTTTCTGACTAGGCGGGGCTCCAGGAACCCTGGCACTGTTCACAAAATAGCGGGGAGTGCAGTGTGGGCATTTTTCTGGGAGGAGAGGTCCTCAAAGTGTTAAGGCACTCTGTTCGTCTGGGGCTGTCTTACCTGCCTCACAGCTGACACTGCCACTTCTGGGCTGGTGACTTCCAGTCTGTTACTCTGACCAGGTGTCCCCAAGCCTTGTACCCACATTCATGGCATCTACCTCCCCTTTGGCCTCCCTGTGTGCCCTGTTTCCCAGCGTGTTCTTGCCGGGGTCCTGGAGTTGGTTACCAACTCTGCCGGCTCCAGGTCTCACTGGCTGGTGGCTGAGTCCACCATCTTCAGTTCCTTCCTTCTCACTCTCCCTTGTTCTATCACCAAAGTCTAATGAGTGTCCCTTAACATACATGTGGTTCCTAGGCCAGTGAGGGGCATGGTGGTTAAGGTGCTGGACTCCCACATAGCCAACTGTGGTTCAAATCTTGGACCTGATGGCTTGCTTTCTCGCTTTCCCATTCTTCTCTCATTATTAATTAATTTAATTTTGTTAGAGAGATTTTTGCTATAGGGTGCATGTGCCCTCTGGAGAAGCAGAGAGAGACAGAAGGATGGAAAGCGAGAAATCACCCCCCAAGGGGATGGCCATGCTGCAATCCCTTCTCCTCCACTTTCCACTCTGGAGTTTGGGCACGCATGCACACGTGACTAGTGTGAATTTCAAGCTGCTGAGTCTGAGACTCGAACCGTGGTCAGCCACATGGGACTTCAGCACCTTAACCACAACACCACCTGCTGACCCCTTATTACTATTTTTTAGCTTGCTATAGGGCATGTGCACTCACCTCTGAGAAGTAATTTTTTTTTTTTTTTTAAATACACATGGTCCCCAATTTAAGATGAAGGGATTGTGATGTGGCCATCCCCCCTGGGGGGGGGTGATTTTTCGCTTTCTATCTCTCTGTTTCTCTGTCTCTCCAGTGGTACATATACTCTATAGCAAAAATCTCTCTAAAATTTTTTAAAAAATGTATGTATGGGATTGTGGCATTGCCATCCTCCCTGAGGGGTGATTTCTTACTTTCTGTCTCTCTATCTCTCTCTGTCTCACCAGCGACTACACACGCCCTTATAGCAAAAATCTCTCTTAGAAAAAAAAAAAAGGTTCAACTTAAGATTTTCAACTCTCCAATGGTGCAAAAGTAATACAGTCACTCATTTTTCACTTTCAGTATATTATTCACTAAGTTATATTGGCCATACAACATAGCATAATAATAATGTCCATGTTGGATGATTTTGCAACTTTAGGCTAATTTGAGTGTCCTGGGCATGTGTGAGGCAGGCAAGGCTAAGCTAGGCTAGGTGTGTTCAATACACTTTCGACTTCGGCTATCTGAGGGTTTATCAGGATGCGCTCGCATAAGCTGAGGAACATCTATATCTCTTGGTCTGGTTTTCTGGTTTGCCTTTTTCTTTCTTTTAGAGAGAGAGAGAGAACGACAGGTAACCTTGACAGGATCATACTACCCTGCGAACCTTGCTCCCCACTGGCAACGCCCAGCCAGGGGGAGGGCATGCGCCCAGTCAATTCAGATCGAGCTCTGAACCCCGGTCTTCCTATATGGCCGGTATTGCACAGCGTGCCCTGCTGTCTGTGCCCCTGCACTGGGGCCTGCTTCTCCAGGACTCGTCACTGGATTCACCTGCCTGGTCTCTTCCTCAATAAAGTTCCATCACTGGGAACTCAGCCTCACCCACTCTGCTTCCTCCAGGGCACGCTGTCATTGCCACGGATCTGTGCCTCTGCAGGGCCTGGCAGTGTCTGACGCATAGTGGGTGCTCTGCACATCTTTGTGGTCGTTAAGTAAATGTGGCCGTAGCAGCCACCAGGTCTTCTCTCCGTCCCTTGTCCCCTCACCTCTGCAAGGTCCTTCCTACTGTTTAAAGCCTGGGAAGAGACCTGCTTCTGATGCCAGAGCGGTT